AAAAATGATATATATACTAGAATCACAGTGGACTTGGCATGTATGTCATAGCATCCCAGCACAAAGGGATAAAAGCAGTCTCAGTCTGATAATTGTGCTCATACTTACTTAGATGCTACTATACACTATGCAGCAGCATAAACACAAATGAAGATATAACAAATCTCACCTGTATATCAAGAAGTGCATTAAGCAAGACCTTGGTTGCAGATTTTGCAGTGGAAAGATTCTTGGTGTAGTTTGGATCATTCTCCCGGACAAACAGCTTGAAGGTGTTACACTGTGGTAATTGGTTTGTCTGACTCACCATCTTCTGCATACTGATGCGACTCTCAAACAATGAGTCATATATTTCTGTAAGTACACACAAAGAACAGATTGAGTATACTCTTTTGCTTGTTAGTGAGTAGGACTTATCCAGAAGCTAATGGAAGATAAGCACCTCAAAGTAATATGGTATTACCTTGTAGGGCTTAAGGCATGCAGCCCTCCTTATTTGAACAGTTTCTCTGAAATATGCTATAGCACTAATTTCCTACACTTAAGCTAATCATACTCTTTAAAACCAGTAAATGCTGTTGTGAATATACTATTCAATATATTTCTATATTTCTTTTTAATTTTACAGCAAGACCTTTACATAAATCAATTTTCTGAAGATCAATCTGATATGCTTTCAGTCTTGTATATCAATCAAAATTCATTCCCATGCTAGCACTTACCTAACTGACTTTTCACTGCTCGACCTTTCCTGACCTCTTCCGATTGATCTTCGCTGCTGAATTTCTTAAGAGATCCTCCATAACCACTCTCAGAATCAAAACCTTCTTCTTCCTCTACACTCAGCTCTTCATCTTCATCGTCATCATCTTCATCATCATCTTCGCCATCTTCAAAATCTTCACCGTATTTGCTGAAGTCCTCATCCTTATCAAATCTAAAATGGAATTAAAATTGTAAGAAAGTGTTACTCTTTTTACTTTTTTTTGTTCCTACTCAATGGTTGAAAGAAAAAAAGGCAGATATGTTCCTATAAATGAATGATTATGAATAAAAGTAAAGTAACATCCACTTACATGAATTCACTTGAGTCATTCTGGAGTTTTGCACGAATCTTCCTTGTGGATTCATCCTCATCTTCCTCACTGTCCAAGCTTTCATCTGATTGCATCTTGATTTGTTTTTCTTGGTAGCCTGTTTCAAAGCCATTCTCTTCAACCCTCCATTCACTTCAGCAACACTTTCTTCCTCACTCTCATCTTCATCTGAACTTGCCTCCTCCTCCTCCTCTTCCTCTTCTCCATCTTCTTCCTCATCCTCCTCATTTTCATCATTACCTTCTTCATCTTCATCATCTTCTATGACAAAGAACTTGCTCAATGATGGATCAAAGGTGACTTCATTATCTTTCTTGAGATCCTTGCGAGAAACCTTTTTGCCTTTATATCGAGGATCACTTTCTGATAAGAGAGCAGCACTTTGTGCTCTTAGCTTGCTAATCGACTGCCCAATCTGATTGGCACTCTCTTCCTTTGCAACTGAATCTACTACCTGCGCTTTGGTTATTACTGTATGGGAGGAAAAAGGAAATATATAAGTTTGAGAATACATACTTCCATACAGCTAAAATTACCTACTATGTAATCTTAGTTTATGTTACCATCAAGCAATAAAAGATAACTTTAAAATAAAGTTTAAATAAGTGCAACAAAAAGCATAAAGGATATCAGAAAATTCTGAGGGGCAAAATGGAAAACAACACGTATATGCAAATCAAACACAAACATATGAATTTGCTAATAGTATACATCAAAATTACAATTTTAACATTATATACAGCAAACATGGATAAAGTTTCACACACCTAATTACATAATCTGGTATAATTACACTTTAAGATACATAAAGACACGAGGAATAAAAAATCAATTTTTCTATTGTTTTTCTTTAAGATGCACATGATGGCCTTTCATCATTTCCCCCCTTTTCAGAACTATACCCTATATCCCCTGTCTATAAACAGGAAGGGGAAATAACACCAGTGAAAAAAGTAAGCATCATTGCCACATTTAAGGAAAAAAATATATGATATGTATATATAACTTCAGGTGGAATGGTAACTTTTCACTTCATAGTAAAACGGTGTACAATTTTTGATATAGGAAGATGGCTTGGCTGATTTTATACTAGAATGCGTTGGGAGGGCTTCTTCATACCATTTTTTTCTAATCTGACCTTATGAGAAAAGTGGGGAAAAAAGGTATAATAGAGCTCTTCCTAATGCATTCCTGAGTAAAATTAGTCAAGTCCCACTCTCCTATCATAAAATCTACATCCTATTTTACATCCTAATGGAGAAAAAAAATCATGAAATGAGACAATTGCAAGTGGAATAAACATAATCATTCATGATCTATGTAGAATTATTATTATTTTGTTTAAATGAAACATCGTTATACACCAAACTGGTGCAATTGGAGGGGGGGGGGGGAGAATTCTATATAAGCACACTACATTAGTTACCCCTCTCCCTACTTCATTCACTTTTCTGGTGAAAATTAAGGTATTTTCTGACCCTTCCCCAGGTTATAATTTTTGGCTAATAAAGATAGGACTATATTTTTCTGCAGTGAGCCCTATATAGCTATGCTAGAATGTGATAGTTGTCTAAAACTGTGCATTTCTGGAAAAAAAAATCTAACAGCAGTAAAAGAATGGCTTTTACTTTGCATCTATTTCCAACTGGCACAGTATGCATAAATATAGATGATAGGGAAACCCACAATCCACAAACTAGAATTATTGAAAGTTAAAAAACAGTTTCAAAATCCTCCTGGATTTCATCTTCAGGTTTGATGCAATTCTAGGAGGAGTTTGGCAAGCTCTGGGGAGTTTATGAAGGAAGAAAGCTAACAAATATATAAATGTATATTGTTCAAAGAAGAAGAGAAGAAGAGAAGTGAAGAAAAAAGAGGAGAAAAGAGGAGAGAAAGAAAAGAAGAGAAAAGAACAAAAGAAGTAGAGAATATGAAGAAGTAGAAGGAAAAGGAAAAGGAAGTAAAGGGGGAGAGGAAAAAGAAAAAGAAGGGTAGGACACAGTAGCCCTTTTGAAAGAAGATTAAAAGGTGGAGACAATAAAAAAAACAGAGGTCTATTAGCCACATATCCTATTTCCTTCCCTAATTTTTTTCTGGTATACCTCATACAATTCCTATCTATCACAACCATTATTGCTCTAGTTCTTTGCAGAATACATGCTAGATTTATTCAGAACAGGATGAAAGTTACCTAAATAATATTGTGTATAATCAGGATTCAAAACCAAATTAACATTTACTGAATAATAGCTTGAAAAGTTAAATTTTCTGGACAGGACAATAAGATGAGGAATATTAGATTAAGAGCCATAGAGAAAACATGAGATGATACATCACTGGCTAAAAGTCCCGCAATTCTTCATCCACTGCATTTCATACACAGGCAAAGGCAAAAGTAATATCCTAGCACTTCAATGTTAAAGATGGGAATAGTTTAAACTACATCATGTGGTAATATTTTATTTTGCACAGCCCTCAACCATTCATTTATCATTCTTGGTTTCAATCATTCACAATGTAATATGTGTGGACCACTTGTCTTCCATCACAATATTAATAAGTGAAAGTATTGGTAATTGTTTATGAAGTGACTGCAACCTCTAGAAACAAGTCCCTTTAACTCCAGCCACACTTGGAAATCCACAGACTTCACTGTATGTTGCTGTTGTTGGGCATCCACCTGATTGCAGTGGCATAACCTATGCACAGCACTTGTTGCAACCTACTGTCTTCAATTCTCACTTTTTTTTGCCTACACACTTTATGTCATGTATCAATGTATAGTTTTCATTTTTTAATGATAGTATAATTAGATTTTCCAGTAAATATAAACCAAAATATTACCAAATGCTATTTTCTTACTATTAACTTGCGGAGGCAATACTGTAGATGAAAAGTTTATTTTCATTCCTTCAGTCTGTTATATGTAATTTTTTCTTCTAACAGAAGGCTGTGTGGAACTAAAACCATTGCGGATGCCTACTAAATAATCTTCAATATGCAAAGATTTACTTTTTACAATTATTTTCTTGCCTAATACCAGTGACGATGCTGTCATTATGTCCATAAGCTCAGTTTTTTCTCCTCTCCAACCTGATCATTTTCCTTATACCAAGCCAAATTGTTTAATCTCACATATACCTCAAAACTTTGTTATTATCAAGTTGCGGAGGTAAAACCATAGAAGAAAAATTTCATTTTTTCGTTCATAATGTCCAATATATGTAAAATTTTCCTTCTAACTGAAAGCTGTGTGGAACTAAAACTATTCCGCTAAATTTATTGATGTTCGCGACAGGGCTTCAACGTGGTTATTTCTATGGGTATATCAAAGAGCTAAGACTGCCAGTGAGATTTCCCGAATATAGCCTACAGAATTAACGCCTAGAACTTTCTATAACTATAACTACAAGAACAGAATTTGGTACCTTGGTCTTCATCGTCCACATTAAATGAAGCCGCCGGGTTCAGAAGAAATTTCTCAACATAAGACTGGAGTGAATTAGCCATGATTTTCACGTGTTGTAACACAACACTGAACGCCTGTCCCGCAGTCCGCCCTCACCAGCCCGAAGCACATGCACGAAATTTGTAAACATTGGAGAGGACGTAGCGAATGGAAATAATTTTTAGAACTGGAAAATATATACCATAAGAAAGAGGTAGTCGTTATCATATGATATGCAATATTTACTTTAAAGTGGTTATATATATGTTCTTTATATATATAATCATGCATAGTGATAATGAGGCAGGCGAATGTGTGTGGATCAGTGTCAGTATAAATGGTTTTATGTAAGTATACGTCTGCTATATTTATATATAGAATAAGCAAAAATGTATATTTATACATATACTACTAGTGCATCCATAAAATGAAAAAGAGTATTCCGTAAAATTTTATCCAGACCGTATCCCCTTCACAGCGGCATGATCGTCTGCAGTAAACAAAAAGTCTTGAGGTCCAGTCCCGTGTGTGTTTGAATGAAATTACCATGAAACCAGGGTCAACACGGCGAACAAAACAGTGACAAATTCCAGTACAACTTCCCTTCTCCCCACACATCCCAGTCAAGAAGGAGAAGGACCCAGCGAAATGTCAGCCGAAGTGGCATCGAGTTCGGCTGTCCAGGATGGCCCGAGGAAGACCTTATTTACCCCGCAGGAGATCGACCAAATCGCCAAGTTCCTCGTAGCGAACCAGAGGAGAGAAAGGGAAAATGTCATTATTCCAAGGACCTTTGTTCCTGTGGTGATCAAGGGGAGAGAAGAGAAGACAGTAGAGGCGATATTCGAGAGCTGTCCTTTCAAGGCGGTGTTGTCTCTCATGGCAGGTCAGTAGTGTATGCGTATATGCTTCTATATATCACATTTCTCAAATATTTTACCATTGGGGAATCCATATTAGGGTAAATGTTCATCCAATTAGATTTTAACCTCCTTGACAGAAGAGCAAGCTTGGATTTGAGAACAGCACCAATTCCAATAATTCCTAGAAAAACTGTCTGCTTGCTGCCTTTTGCTTGCCTGGCAAAATTTATTTGATTATTCATTATCGTACTTAACACACTGCTTTCATTGTTGTAGAAACGTAATGAATTAAGTTTTTGCTCCTGTCAAAATTAAGTTGTAAATAATTATGCTCTTTGTTTTTGCAAC